CCCCCCCTCTCTGGCCCCCTCAGCAGTAAATAGCCGCACCCCTCCCGCTTTTCCCCCCGCCGCCGCACACACGCATGACCATGGAGGCGCCATACTGGCTCTCGGCGGAGACCTCTCTCGGCCGGGTGGTCGACTATATTGCCCCTCTCCGGCGGATGTTCTACACGGTCTTCCCATGGGAGATGTCCTTCCGGTCGTTGGCCGATGTGCCGGACTACATCCAGGGCGCGGTGCCCTTCTTCATCGGGAGCATCCTGGTGGAGGCCGTGATCCTGGTGTGGCTCCGCCGGCAGGAGGAGCGCGAGCAGCAGGAGGCCGCCGATACCAGCAGCAGCAACCCAAAGGCCAAGCCCGCTTCCGGGCGCAAGCCCACCCGCAAGTACAAGCTGGTCGGCTTCGACTTCTTCGATGCCGTGACATCCATGAGCTCCGGCCTCTTCATGCTGGTCTTCAACCAGCTGGTTCTGAATGGCTTCGAGGTGTGTCGGTCTCACTTCTTTCGCCTTCGCCGTGTCCATGCTTGGGGCCCTGTGCGCGGCGTGCGCGCGTTGTCCCCCTCCCGGTCGCCCCTCTTGCTGTATCCTGTGCCGACCCTGGTCACTTGCTGGCAGCTGCTCTTTTCCTCTCTCTCTCTCTCTCTCTCCCTCCCCGGGCATCTGACCCCCCCCCCCCCCCCCCCCCCCCGGTCCTGCCTCTCGCCCCCGCCTAGCTCCGTGCCTATGCCTACGTCTTCGAGCGCTTCCGCCTGGTGACCCTGCCGAGCGACTCGCTGGTGGTCTGGGTGGTGGGCTTCCTCGGGGTGGATCTGGGGTACTATTGGTTCCACCGGATGGCGCACGAGATCAACCTCTTCTGGTCGGCCGGGCATGTGGTGCACCACAGCAGCGACGCATACAATGCCACGGTGGCCGTCCGGCAGTCGGCCCTGCAGCTGTACACCAGCTGGATGTTCTATCTGCCACTGGCGCTGGTTCTCCCGCCGCCGGCTTTCCACGCACATCGGATGCTCAACGTACGCCGCATCGCCGGTTCCCGTGTCTCGCCCTGCCCGCCCTTTCTTCGCTGCTGGGTGTGCTGTGTTCTGACCTGGCTCCCGGCCCCCCCCGCCTGCAGACGCTCTTCCAGTTTTGGATTCACACCGAGCTGATCGACAACATCGGGCCGCTTGAGTGGATCCTCAACACCCCGAGCCATCACCGCGTGCATCACGGCCGCAACCCCTACTGCATCGACAAGAACTACGGTGCGTGTAGTCCCACGCCGCCGGCGTTGTGATCTACCTCCACAGGTGCTGTTCCCGCGTCGCACTCCTGCCCAACTAACAGCCTGCATCTACCCCGTCGCCTTGGCAACCGCGTTCGCGCGGGTGCATGCGTGTGCCTCTCTCTCTCTCTCCTTCTCCCTCTCCCTCTCCCTCTCCCTCTCCCTCTCTCCTTCTCCCTCTCCCTCTCTCTTTCTCTCCTTCTCCCTCTCCCTCTCCCTCTCTCCTTCTCCCCCTCTCTCTCTTTGTGTCTGCACGCATGCATGCAATCATCGCGCGCGCACGCACACACATACACACCCATAGCCGGCACCCTCATCATCTGGGATCGCATGTTCGGCACCTTCGAGGCGGAGCGCCGGGATGAGGAGCCCGTCTCTTACGGGCTGACTCACGTCCAGCCCACCTTCGACCCGTGGCGCGTGCAGTTTGAGCACCTGGCCCGGCTGGTGGCGCGGGCCTTCCGCGCGCCGTCCTTCGGCGATGCCCTGCGCACCCTGTTCTACGGCCCGGGGTGGACCTTCGTGGTGGACGACCGGGGGCCTTGCCCGCGTCTCGGGCACTTCGAGGACATTCCCAAGGTGGATGCCCACTCCGAGTCGGGGAAGATGCGCCACCGGCCGCCCCCGGCCACCGGCAGCCTAAATGTCTACTGCCTGCTGGGGTTCTTCCTGGCGCAGGGCGCCCACTCGTTGGCCGGGCCGGCTCTCGGTCCGGGCGGCACCCCGACGCTCATGGTTCATGGGGCGGTCATTGCCTTTGTCCTGCTGACCCTGACCACGGTGGGCGCCCTGTACAGCGGCCACTCATGGGCCGTGCCGCTGGAGTGCGCGCGTCTGCTCCTGTCGATCGGCTACCTCCTGTGCGTGTCCGAGCGGGGGGGGGGGGGGGGGGGGCAAGGTCTTTCTCACTCGCTTGTCCCGCGGCTGCCGTGCCAGCCGGTCGATTGTGTCCGTCACTGACATGGGCGTTTTACGTGCTGTCTCTCTGTGTCTGCTTTTTTTCCTCTCTCCTTTGCTTTCTCGCCCTCGCCCTCGCTGCTCCGGCTCCGGCTCCGGCTCCGGTGCATGTGCGCACGCAGCCTGGCCGAGCGCGATCTCTTCTCCTCGGCCATCCGCCTGTCGGACTACCGGGTGTACCTGCGCCTGGCGGCTCTGGTGCAATTCCTCCTCTTCATTTGGCTTGTCACCCATCGGAACAGCCTCTACAAGCCGGCATCCGGTGGCCCGGCCAAGGCAGCCACTGCCAGGGCCACCACCGAGGAGGGTGCCAGCGCTGAGGCGGCCAGCTCCAGCGCTTCCTCTTCGGTCGCCACTGCAACCGGCGCCGGCGGGCTTTCCAAGCGCAAGTGACCATCCCCCCCCCCCC